GTACCCCTACAGTCCAGTCTGGGTCACCTTGTACCCCTACAGTCCAGTCTGGGTCACACTGTACCCCTACAGTCCAGTCTGGTGCACCTCTGAGCTTGCCATGCTGTCCACATGAGCTGTTCTTGTCGTCCTCCTGGTGGTGCAGCAGTCACTGAACTGTTAGCAGAAATACAGTTCACTGTCAAACAGCTGCTCATGCTGTGTCTTCTTCTCTGTTTCCATTACAGACTGAAAAAAGCTGTGCATTTAGTCCCACTGAGGTATGTGTCTGATCCACACTATCGTCTCTTACACTGCTCATAGAGCGCAGAAGCAGTCTATGGGCTCTACAGCTTCTCTGTAGCTGTTCTACAGATCTGACGATGAGGACGGACAGGTGATGTGAGCTCTGTTCTCTCCTGGGCCCTGTGACAGGCCTGTCTGTCGCTCTCTGGGCGCCCTCCTCCCTGCATGGTGCCTTTCAAAGGTTCACTGGAGCTGTGGCACCTGGGAAATGGTATCAGTTGAAGTCCTGGTTTTTTCCAACAGACAGCAGCAGATTAAATTCCTCTTCTCTCAGGCAGAGAGGCCTTCTTGTACATCAGTCCTGTGTGACCCATCAGCCTCTCCCAAATTTCCAGGACAGCTTCCCAGAGTCCTGCTGCTCTGGAATTGAGTGGAAACATCTTATCAAGGAGCAAAGCAGGCTGGGAATTTACAGTACCATCTGTGGTTGAATCAGAGGTCCATATCCTTCATCTCTGATAGCCTGAAAGCTCTGTAACCCCTTACCCCTGCCAGACAGGGGCTGATCTTAGTGCTGTAATTCAGAAAAGTATCTGTTAAGAATGCTGAAGGCAGGAACCAGGACAGGCCACCGGGCTGCCAGTGCTCAGCTTGTACTAGCTCTTGCACAAAGAGGACCTATGAATAGAAAATGTTATTCTAACAAATGAAATGAAATTGAACACTCCAGTCCTGTCTGCTCAGACAGCCTCAGTCTGAGTACCAGCACTGTAAGCCCTGGAGCGGATCAGACTGCTGCGCACTGGGAGTCTGATCGGTTCCCCTGAAGGCTGCAGTTGCTAGACGGGAGCCTGTCCCCCTGTGTCAAGCAGTGACCTCTCTGCCCTGCAGGCAGTGCCAGCCCTGTGTGGGCCGCCGCAGGGTACTGGACCCGGGCACCTGTGAGTGCCGCTGCAGCGCCACGGCCCGGAGCTGCCAGCTGAAGGGCAGGACCCTGAACCGGCACGCCTGCAGGTGAGGGGCTCCACCTGTGGGGACAGAGGGGTACCGCAGCAGCGCGGTCGGCCTGTGTGAGTCGCCTTCGCCTTCTCATTCTTGGGGCTCAGACTGCGCCCATTCGCTCCAGCCCAGACCCC